ATACTGCATAGGTTGCAGCTTACACATAGTTGCTTAAAATATTAATTGCAATTTAATTTGTTTTTACACAAACCTAAGCTCTATATCATACAATATGTATTTGATTTCAATTTTCTCAAAGCAGAGAAAGAGAATTCTTGTATTGTTTTTATAAAGTGATATGCAGAGGGTTACAGTCATATAGGTCAGATAATGAGCATATTTCTTTTTGGGCAGTGTCACTCCTTCCCTTGTGGGAAAGGGAATTTTTTTAAGCAGCCAAATTGTCTGTACTTGGGTTTTTACAAAACTGCTTCTATATGTATACCTTTTATGTAGTTGAGGTTTTCAAGTCTTCTTTTGTACAATTGGTAAAAATGTTAAGTGTAATGTGGTTACCTTAAAGAAGCAGAGGAAATAGAATCAGACATAATTTCTAAGACAGCTGCTTCAAAACAATTTCCACTAAATTTTACTAGATTGGAATGCTTTCTGGTTCTTGGAGAAGTAGCTTCAGGGAACATCACGGATATTGATGTCTGACTCTAACTCAGTGATCTGCCAAGAAATAAATGAGTTTATCATTTCCTGAAGTCAGCATTGGCACAGTTCCATGAATGATTCCAAAATATTCAGGACATCTAGTTAATAGTCAGAATATAATGCTAAACAATGTTTAAAAGTAATAGATATTTTATTTTATAAGCTAAGGAAATATTGTAGACTTTCCAATACATTAGCTCTTTAGGCTAATAACATTTTGTTTTAATGATTCACTATTATCTTCATACTCACAAGGTATTTGGCAAAGTTCCTTAGAACTAAGTTTTTTTTAAAATTTATTTTGTCCTTTTGGTACAGGCTCAAAAATGTTAGTCATGTGCTTATGAAATTGCAGAACACTTTTGAGTCAGGATGATGAGAGCACAAAAAGAGCCAGGTTAATGAGTTAATGCTGATTCTAGTGGTGTATTTGTGATTTCCCATCAACATAGGGATTGAGTGAGGTTGACTGATCTAATTTAGCATTCTGTGATATCTATTCACCGTCAGGAAAGTCTACCTACTTTATGCACTTAGCCATCTTGAAGTTGAAAGATCATAGAAGCTAGTTTCAGGACAGTTTTATCTGGATTATAGAGATATGCTCCAACATGAAGAGAATATTTTCATGAAAGACACAGAAATAATTAATTACACACACACACACACACACACACACACCTGATTAGATCTTCAAGGTCAATATGGCCTAAATAAAATTACCTTAAAAAGAAACTCAATCTTTGAGATTTCTCCATGTTTTTCCTATTTTTCCCTTAATCTGTAATTCTTCCTGAATAACATTCACACATTTTCTATATTTATAATTACCATAATTGTATTTAATTGTTATTCTCTATTTATTTGGCTTTCATCTTTTATTTGAGGGATTTTTTTTGGCATTAAGTTTGAGACTTGACTAGAGTCTGTTAATTCTAACAGTCCCTAGGAACTGAAAATCTAGCAATAGCTATTACATGCTATATACTAGGAAATAACATTTTTTGGGGGGGTCCAGTCGTGGGGCCTGAACTCTGGGCCTGGCACTGTCCCTCTGCTCTTTAGCTCAAGGCTAGTGCTCTACCACTTGAGCCACAGTGCCTCTTCCAGTTTTTTTCTTATGTGGTGCTGAGTAAACGAACCCAGGGCCTCAGGCATGCAAAGCAAGCGCTCTACCACTGAGCCACCTTCCCAGCCCCTAGGAAATAACTTTTGCACAAACAAATACCATCTTGATGGAAAATGTAAAGAATTAAAATAAGCCAGGTGCCAGGTGCTGGTGGTTCATGTCTGTAATCCTAGCTGCTCAGGAGGCTGAGATCTGAGGACTGTGGTTCAAAGCTCTCTCTTAGATGCAATTAACCATCCATTAGCTCCATTAACCATATGTTTTCAGGTAATTTTCTTATATCACAACACAATAAAATTTCCAAATCTCACTAATTTCTGACTAGACATAAAAATATTTCTGGTCCTATAAATTGATTGCTATATATTTATGATGTAGATACCATCTAGATTTGTTAATGGTATGAAAAGACAAGCAGTTTGGTGAGAATGGCAGTTCACTTACTGGCTGAGCTATAACTGACATGGAAATCTTTTGTGGAATACTTTGAATAAAGAGAGCCTAAAAACTGCTTTTGTATTTACCAACACAACTCTCATTATAATACACCCACAAATGTAATAGGAAAACATATAAATGAGTCATGACCAGTTGAAATTCACTTTTTCCCACCATAGTCCACTTATTATGTTAAAGATTAAATCATATTTTTTAGCATTTAATAACATTTCACCTTAGGAAGATCACATACAAATGAGAGGAACCTCTAGCAAGTAGATCAAAGTGGAACTTTACAGTAATAATTTAGTGAACATAAGTAAAGCCAGAAAAATAGAATTTTCAAATTGTTTGGCTAAGGTTGTGAGGGTCAACAGGAAGAAAAGAAAAGAAAAGAATCTAACTAGGTCAAATAGTGTCCTCTAGCCCTCACTTGCAAATCCCACTGAAGCCAATGGAAGTTTATGAAAATGTCTGAAAGATGCATTTGGCCTAGTTCAAAGCCCCATTAAATAGTATTTTAATACATTGTCCTAGTTAATTGCTGTCTTTAGGATCTTTTTAGTGTTTCACCTAGGGGTCATTCAGAGATTCCTTAGAAATCATAGACAAGAGGATGGTTTAACAAGGAATATTTGACCTCTTGTTTATTTCAAACATAGGTTGACTTTCTAATTTTCCCCACTCCATTGTGCAAAGAAATAAATTTATGGATTCCAGGTGACCTTTTGCTTTTAATGCCCATAAAGTTGGAAGTATGGACAGATATAAAATATATTAATTCTGAGCTGGGTGCTGGTGGCTCACATCTGTAATCCTAGCTGCTCAGGAGGCTGAGATCTGAGGATTGCGATTCAAAGCCAGCTGGGCAGGAAGGTCTGTGAGACTGATCTCTGGAAGTGGTGCTGTGGTTCAAGTGGTAGAGTGCTAGCCTTGAGCTGAAGAGCTGAGGGACAACGCCCAGGCCCATTCAAATGCCACGATGACCACCACCACCACCAACAACAAAAAACATAACTCTGATATATATATATTAAATTGTTTATACAATTAATAAACAGAATTTGCAGTTACAAGTATTGTTATAAATTTTATATCATTCATCCCATAATGGTCATTGTAGCTTTTTGTTTCCTTATGATTCAAAGGGGAACTAAAGTAACCTTTTCCTTCCTGGCATCCACATTTTTCAGTCTCTATTTTGGCTTGATTACTGATTAGGGACTCTTGTTAGTGGTAACAGGTTTCATTTCTAGGATTTCAGGAATAAAGTATCACTTCTTGGCCTTTCAAAGTTCAAGCAATTTGGTTTCTTTACAGATTGTAAGTGCCCACACCAGGTTCAGACTTGTGTTTGTCAAAGGTAATAAGGATGATTCAGGGATCCTGTGCTATGAGGAGAGCCAAGAGATAGCAAGTTCATCAGGAGCCTTAAATAGGAAGAATAATTTGGACCATAGACCATGGAGCTAGACTGAATTTACATCCCTGTTCTATCAGTTGCCAGCTCTGTAACGTTAGTGACTTTGTTTAAGCTCTTGGAGTTTTGATTACCCCATCTTTATCTTTTAAAAAATGAGCACTATAGCAAGGATTTGTGAGAATTTGAGAGACTACGCTTGGACATACCGAAGTGAAACAGCAATGAATAAATGCTAGTAAGGGGTATACTGTAATGGGGAATAAGAGTGTTTTTTGCAGCTTGGCTCTTGTTGTTTTATACATATTAATTACCATTACTCAGACTGATCTCTTTGCTCAGCCCCTCCCCCATTATTTCCTATTGAAATGATTTTCCTATTGAAATAGCGTCCCAGGGAGTTGTAAGGGGACCCAATAGGAGATTCGGCAGGTAAAACTGTTTCTAGCAGCTCCACCTTGGTAACAGGAAGAGGAGTCCTTCCCTTGGTTTTGCAGCTTGAGGGGTTTTTGTGCCTCTCTGGAGTAGGGCCCAGCTGCAGGCAGAAATTCACAATAAAAGAGACTGTGGCCAGTGGGCCCTTCACCTGCTAATGCTGGGCGGGGAGCTGGCAGGTTACACAAGGCCAATCAAGCTAGATGGCTTGTAGCCACAGCGCCATGTGGCTTGTTTCCTCCGGAGACACTCCCCTGGGGTTGCTTTCAGTCTAGAACTGAGGAGAGATCTTAGGAATTTGGCAAAAATGTATTAAATCAGATTTCTTGCTTGTGTAGATGCGGTGTTAGCTCATGATGACGCCATCGGAAGACGTCTCTGACGTCAAGGGCTTGTTTGGCTCACCCAAGCAACTACATAACTCGGTAGCACGTGCTGCATCCCGAGGCAGCACAGGTCCAGGCGAGCATGCCGGAGATCCACGAACGCGGACCTCAGGGAAACTGGCCCTCGGCAGAGCGTGGTGGAGGGGCGTTATTTCAGAGAGTCACATTTTCGTTTTCATGTCTCATTTAAGACGATTTTGCACACGGTACAAACGAAGACAATTCTGGCTTTCACGGGGAACAGATCAGACTATAGTGTAGGCATCAAATCAGTCCGTGAAGCACCGCTTCAATTGCCTTAACACTAGCACGACACGGGCATCTTTCCCAGGAAAGCAGGCTTGCACTTTTCGAGGTCTCCTACCCAGGGAAGGAACCAAATCCCCAAAGACGGGCCAAGAGGCGACCCGCCTCTTCTGCGCGCCGCACACGTGTCTTCTGGCCCCGCCCCCGGCCCCGCCCCATCCCGATCCAGCCAACTCAACCAACGCTCGCGAGAGCCCAGTCGGCTTCCACGTTTGCCACGTTCCAAAAAAACCGAGGCACACTGGAAAGCTGAAAGCCGCTCACGCTCACCAGCAGCTGCGTCGCGCCTGAAAGGCCCCGAGACTGCAGAGAGAGGGGGCGGGAAGCACGAAAGGGAACCGCCCTTTTGTACAGACGTTGGCGATTGGCTCGTATCCACTGTCACTCAGCCTTCGTGGGTGGAGCGAGGCCGGGCAGGGGCGTGGCCGAGGGGGCTAGGGAGCCGCGCGTTCTCGCAGGGAAAGAGACAGAGAGAGTCACAGGCTGGGCGTACGCGTGGGCTGGGCGCGCGCAGCCGGCACGCGGGGAAAGTCCTGGGAGGCGCGGCGACCCGTGTGATCCGTGTCGGGCCATCCGCGCTACTGCAGGAGCCGAGCGCGGCCCAAAGCCTCCCCAGCATCTGCGGCTGTTGTCCCCGGAGCACCGAGGAAGCCCCTTGGCGCCTCTCCAGTCCGGGTGGAGTGCGTGATGGCCCCTCGCAAGAACGCCAAAGGCGGCGGCGGCGGCAACAGCAGCAGCAGCGGCGGCGGCGGCGGCTCCTCCGGCAGCAGCAGCACGGGCAGCAGCGGTGGCAGTAGTAGCTCAGGAGCTCGGAGAGGTCAGAATGCTTGCAGGCCGGGGTCCGGGCCGGGAGCGGGGTCCCCGGGAGCCGCGGGCGCTGCGGGGGCTCCTCGCCAGCTCCCGCCGCGCCTCCCGCAGCCCCTGCCTCGCTGACGCGTCACGGAGGCCTGGCTGGCGGGGCTGGGCGCTCGGGAAGGCGGGCGCCGTGCGGTCCGCCCCGTCGCCAGCCCCTGCGGGGCTCCTGGAGGTGGCGGGGCCGCTCACCTGCGGGGCGCCGCCGCCGAGATCCGGGCTTTCCGTGGCAGTGGAGATGGGGGTTAGAGAACGATTGATCTTGGCCTCGCGTGTTTTGCGGGAGCTTGGAAATGAGCCGAAGTCAGGGAAAGTAAGTTCTTGCTTGGCCAGCAGCGTTTAGGAGCTGCTCGAAGGATGAGGTTAGGGAGGGAGGCGGGGTGGGGGGGTTGAGAGTGATTCACATGCTTTTGGAGGCTATTTTAAATAGGTGTATGTAGTTCTCTTAACTATCTTTTACATACCTGCAACACTAGGCGGGTTTTTTCTATTCTTCCTCTCTTTTAATTTCCTTAAAGGAAAATCGACTGGATATTCACCTTTCTCCTCCTCCATGTGCTTCTCCAGCCGAGAACAGATGTTTTAAATCTGTTTCGTCTCCTATTACCGTGGCCCTCGGTTTCTTTTCTTTTTCATTTGACTCACATTTAGGCTATTGGAACTGGAATACACATGTGTACCAAATGTGAGACACATTTCACTCGAAATGATTCACAGTCTGCGCTAGGATCCGCATGCAGCCCATTGATATGTATCAAGAAAACAAATCAGAAAACTTATGATTTTATTTTAAAAATACTTCCTTTTGTAGCTCTTATGGCCTTATTTATTTTCATGTGAATTGTCTTTGTTTTATTGTCTCCTCTTGGTCATTCCGATCTATTATTGGTTTGTTATGCCCAACTCTTTGAATGGTCCTCACCTATAATAGGTGCTCAATAAATATTTGGTTAGAGATTGAAACAAACGTTAGTAGCAAAAGTAGTACAGTTAAACCCACTGCACACATTTACATTCTGAGAACCAATATTTGTCTTCTAAATGGAAAGAGGTATACAGTTCGAAGTTCAGACCCTGAATTAGTTAATTCACCTTGGACGTAAGTAAAAATTGTATTCTTGTTTCCTTGTCCTTAAATGCCCGTAAAACATGCAGTGGATGTAGAAAGCAGCACCTAGTGGTTGGGGCTACACTTATTTTTTCTTAAACATTTGTAAATGACAAGGACCTTTGGAGAAAGTTTTCTGTAACTATTTGTAAATGAAGCTTGCCTCTCTCCTGTTATTCCCCTATTTTCCTCTTTTCACCTTCCCTGTCCCTGACCCTGTCTTTTCCCGGTATTCAGCCCTTCATCGTTCCACTTTGTCCTTGGGATTCTTGAGTACAGCATTGATTGCATCTGAGAAAGTAGCTTTGTCAGACCTGTTAATGGTAAGAAACATATTCCCCAACCCTACCCAAGAACTAAACCATAGAGAACATGTTAAGACCTCAATTAATCTTTTTTTTTTTTTTTTTGCCAGTACTGGGACTTGAACTAAGGCTTAGACTCTTATCTTTTAGGGTTTTTTTTTTCTTTTCAAGCTTTCGGGTGGTTAATTGTAGATAATGTCTCATGGACTTTCCTGCCTTGACTGGCTTTTAATTGGCATTCTCAGTTCGCAATGTCCTGAGTAGTTGCAGGAATGAGCCACCAGCTCCCTGACCCAATTAAGTTATTCTGACTCTCATAGTCGGGCATTTAAGAGTAAATTCTCTTTGAGTAATCATTTTACACAATTATTGTCTTCATAATTGTCATGAAACAACATGTAAAAGAAGGTCTGTAAAAGAGGGAAATTTCTTGTGTTATAAAACTAAAAAAAATTAAACAAAAAGTGGGGTGCCAGTGGTTCATGCCTATAATCTTAGCTGCTCAGGAGGCTGAGAAATGAGGATTGCAGTTTGAAGCCTGCCCTGGCAAAAAAATTCTTACCTCTAAGTAACCACCCAAATTCCAAAAGTGGAGCTTAGGCTCTAATGGTAGTGTACCAGCCTTGATCAAAAAAGCTAAAGGAGGGCTGGGAAGGGGCTCAGTGGTAGAGTGCTTGCCTTGCATGCATGAGGCCCTGGGTTCGATTCCTTCCATGACTAGAAAAAAAAAGGCTAAAGGACAGTACCCAGGCTCTGATTTGAAGCTCTATTACTGGCACAAACAATCTTCCCAAATTCAGTAGTATTGAAGACATGTGCATTATAGTAGTTGATATTTTTTTTTTTGCAGCATTTTCTTTTTCTTTTTGTTGTTGTTCTTCAGTGAACTTTGGATTGTGACTGTGCATCATGGCTGAAGAGGTTTTTTTTTTTTTTTTCCTGTCTGTCATGGGGCCTGAACTCTGGGCCTGGGCTCTGTCCTTGAGCTCTTCAGCTCAAAACTGGTGCTCTACCACTTGAGCCACAGAGCCACTTCTGGCTTTTTCTGCTTATGTGGTGCTGAGGAATTGAACCCAGGGCCTCATGCATGCAAGGCAAGCACTCTACCACTGAACCACCTTCCCAACCCCAAAGCTGAAGAATTTTTAGCCGACATTACCAGGAAACCTATTTAGTTGCTTGTTCAAAACAAGTTTTAGATGAGAACCTAATGCCCAGAAATGTTGTGAACCCAGTAAATTACAAGAACAAAAACCAGAATCCAGGTTTTTCTGTTAGTCATTCCTTATTTCATACTACTTGAGTTTTAGATTTTCTTTCTTTTTTTTTTTTTGCCAGTCCTGGGGTTTGAACTCAGGTCGTGGGCTGTCCCTGAGCTTCTTTTGCTAAAGGCTAGCCCTCTACCACTTGAGCCACAGCACAACTTATGGGTTTTTCTGTGTATGTGGTGCTGAGGAATCAAACCCAGGGCTTCATGCATGCTAGGCAAGCACTCTACCACTAAGCCACATGCCCAGCCCTAGATTTTCTTTTTTCTTTTCTTTCTCTTCTCTCTCCTTCTCCCTCCCTTCTCTCTCTCTCTTTTTCTCATCAGTTGTGAGACTTGAATTCAGGGCCTGGGTGTTATTGAGCTCTTTTTGTTCACAGATAGTACTCTACCACTTTGGGCCACATTTCTGGTGGTTAATTGGAGATAAGAATCTCACATGGGGGGGGAGGCTGGGAAGGGATGTGAAGGGTAAACAAAGGAGGAGGCTGCAATGCTTGGTAAGAAATGTATGCATTATCCTGCCCATGTATTTAACTCCTCTGTACAGTTAAAATAATTTTTTTTTTTTAAAAAGAATCTCACATACTTCTTGCCCAGGCTGGCTTCAAACCGCCAACCTCAGATATCAGCATCCTGAGTAGCTAAGATTACAGGCACGAGCCACCAGTGCCCTGCTGAGTTTCAGATTTTCTAATATCTATATTTATGCCTATCTATCTATCTATCTATCTATCTATCAATCAATCAATCATCTACGGGAATTGGAAGTTGCTGCTTATCAAGTTGTCTTCTGACTGGCTCCATGGCAAACTACTATGTTTTTGTCTTTTCACTAATTAAGTTTCCTTTGCCTGAAATTATATTGGAACAATGCATTTGAAGAATTATAGTTTGAAAAGAGTATAAGAGCTCACATGCTGCTGGAGATGATTTTGCATTGAGAGTTTAATATTAATAGTGATGTTGGGTATATGGAACACTGTTTCTCAGATTTTTGTATAAAACTATGAAATAAAAAGGACCTAGTTTTCTGAGGGTCGTGGTTCAAAGCCAGCCTGGGCAGGAAAAGTCGTGAAACTCTTATCTCCAATAAACCATCAGAAAACGAGAAGTGGCTGGGCTCAAGTGGTAGAGCGCTAGCCTTGAGCTGAAGAGCTGAGGGACAGCTCTCAGCCCAGAGTTAAAGCCCCATGACTGACAACAAAAAAAATAAAATAAAAAAGGACTTAGTTCTTTGAAGCATGAGTTTTACAGAAGGAAAAAAAAAATTAAAGTAGGTATTTCCTCATTGTCTTTTTTTTCTTCTCTTCATTGTCTTAAACTGATTGAAATAAAAGTAGAGTTTTTCTTGTTTTTCTTTCTTTCTTTTTTTTTTTTTCCGAAGAGAATTACCACTGTTCTTTCACTGGAAGTTTATTTTAGTATTTCTTGCTAGCAAGTTCCTGCAACTGTTTACTACCTGTGACCAGTAGGTGCCACTATAGAGCGTTTTTAAAAAATCTTCAGATTTACAGAGTGTAGAAAAGCAATTATGTTTGGTTATTTGTTTATTTACTTGTTTATTTAGTGCTGATACTGGGGCTTGAGCCCAAGCTTGAATGTTGTCTCTTAGCTTTTATGCCATTCTAATGCTTGAGACACAGCTCTACTTATGGCATTATGGTAGTTAAATGGAGATAAGATGATCAGGGACTTTTGGATTTTGCTGCCTTAGCTCTCTTCCAACCGGATCTTAAGATATCAGCCTCCTGAGATTTTAGGGGAATATAGTCAAGAGCAACCAGCATATGACAGCAATTAGATTTTAAAATTACTATTAATATTTAATCATCCTGATTTTCCCCAAACTATTGATGGAAAATGACTGATCACTACCAGTGTTGAATTCTCTTAATGTCTGGTACAGATTTTGAAATGTAATGGTAAGAGTTTGTCTTGATAAGGCTTACTTTAAAATTAAATAAATTTGTTCTGTTAGGATAGAGAAATTCACAACTTTGATGGATTTTGGTTAATTGTAAAAACAAAAAAACTTCTGAGTGGTTATTCTTCTGTTTTTCCTTTCAGTGTGTCTTAGATTACTAAGTGACTAACATGCAATATGTGCTGCTGATTACATTCTTGCTCTTTTGAATTTCTAGTGAAATTCCTCTTTTTTATCAAGAGACTATCAATTAGGGCCAGTTGCTAGATCCTCCACTAGCCATTCTAAGATGAAAGATAGGAAGACTTTTAATTTGTATGCCTCAAGAAATTCACAGCTTTTTGATTGAGTGCCATTT